AGCGAGAATAAAAGTTACGCCTTCTTTCTTTGCGTGAACATTTGGGCGGCGTTATGCAAATCTTCCCACACAGTGATGTAGACATGTGGGGGTGTGTTAGAACGAGCCGTTTTAGGTAGGTGTGGCTGACTCTTAACTTTTATAAAGAATATCTCTTTGGATTTGAGACTTTAGTCTTTGCAACTTTACAGATCTTCTTTATGCACCAAGAGCTTGTAACACTCCAAAGAGAAAGGAAAAATTGAAATCGCATCATATGACCCCTTTAAAACTTTATAAACTGTAATCTCTAGCTTCCGCTAACTGTCATACAGGCGTTCACAAGAACGTGTGTTCAAATAAAAACAAAAAAAACAAAACTTGGTTCTCACGAGACTAGCATATTCTCACCGGAGCTTATGCTATCCCTACGTCCTACATCATCCACTGGAACGCCACTCTCTAGTGAATGCGTGTACGACAGTTAGCGGAAACTACAGATTACGGTTTATAAAGTTTTAAATATGGATATTTTTTTCTTACACAAATGCATATATTCGCTTCAGAAGGCCTTTAAGGCCTTTAAGACCACCAGAGCCATGAGGAGTACTTTTTATGATGGATGGATGCACTTTTTTGGGCTTCAAAATCTTGACCCCCCATTCACTGCCATTATAAAGCAATTTTTTTAATATAACTCCAATTGTATTCGTCTGAAAGAAGAAAATCATATACACCTTGGATGGCTTGATGGTGAGTAAATCATGGGGTAATTTTCATTTTTGGGTGAACTATCCCTTTAAGCATCATACACTTGGTAAACATATTAGATCTGTATTTCCCTTCATGTTGTTGAACGAGATGCCTCATTCATTTATTTCATTTGTTTGGGCATGGTCGGTCAGCAGGTCCAACCAATGCTCCTTCACATCCTGCCCAGGGCCGTTTTAACCATAGGGCTAGGCGGGGCTGAAGCCCCCCGCCCTCTAATGCTATTTGCTCGTGCGCTACAGTTAGCCTTTGAAGTTAGAAAACCTGTCACAAGTTACCGAAAAAATGAGTCGATTCCAGGATGATTTGTTCACTTTATGATTCTAAAGATCATTCACGAATGAATCACCAGGCCATTAGTTTTAAGGAGGGTTACTTTTATTTTACAAATTATCAGGGTTACTTTTCAATATTGGTTGGAATGATAATAATTGGCAATGCAAAAAAAAAAAAAAACAGTTATAATGGTTGCTGTGTCTTTTGTGAAGTTTTGTGTAGCAGTGTTTGGCGAGGCCACCTCTGTCAGGCACAGCAGCTACTTATCCAGACCACAGGCAGAGAGCTAGAGCAGAGCATCCACTGCTTCTATTCCAGGATGCCAGTCAGAGATTAACCTCTGGCCTGAGCCAAGCTTGCATCACATCCTAATCTTTAACAACCTACTGGTGGACTGAAACTGTCCTTCAACAAGCATGACTTTGAGTTAGACACACTAGCTGGGCACAGCTGTATGGATCACGTTTGTATTCATTGTGGTGTTTTCTGATATGCTGAGATGTCAGAATGATTGTTCTGCTCATATCAGCTCCAGTCTGCTAGAATATATGCAAATCCACTTTAAATGGACAAAAACATTAATTCATGAACATTGATTGCTGTCTAAGAAAAAAACAATGTTATATATAATAATTGTATTATTGGAATGACACTATGTTGCATTTTTTTTTATCAAGAAGAAATAATCGTAATAATTGTATATATTATAATATATTACAATAATTTGTTAATTACAACTCTTTCATTATGAAATATCTCTTTAGGGGACCATAACTGGAATGAGCAAAAAAGAAGTTCCAAACCTCCATAGCAGATTATGAGGAGGTTTAGATGTATGAACCTAGCAGCACCTAGTGGACACAAATTTTGTAGTTGCAGGAACATGCAGTCAAACACACACACACACAC